AAAAAATAAATAAATAAATAAAACCACTTCTACCTGGAAGGGTGCCTGCCTGGCTCAGTTGGAGGAGCATGCACTCTTGATCTCAGGGTCTTGAGTTTGAGCTCCACGTTCGGTGTGGAACCTACTTAAAAAATAATACAGGCCACTTCCACCTGGATGTTGCTTTAGTTTACCAAGTGCTTCCTTATGTGATTTCCCCGCCTCCTTGCTTCTTTTAGTGCTTCAGACAATATCCCGAAAGCAGATGAGATCCGGACCCTGATCAAGGATGTGTGGGACACTCGCATAGCCAAACTACGGGTGTCTGCTGACAGCTTTGTGAGCCAGCAGGAGGCACATGCCAAGGTAGGTGCGTGCAGGGCAGGGGCACGGGGGGCCCTCCCTGTGGCAACTGCCTCTCCTCCTGTGCCCATGAAGGCCTGGGGCTGCCTGCTGGTGCCAATGAATTGCCCCCAGCATCCAGTCTGCTTGGATGATTGCAAGCAGGGATTACTAGCTGTGCTGTGCCTTTAAAAAAAGAAAAAAAAAAAACTATTATTCATTGGTTACTTATTTTTATTCAGTAGATTTTACATTTTCTCAAACCAAACACTCCTCAACCAACCCAGTTGATTTTCTCTTGTGTTTTAGCTGGATAACCTGACCTTGATGGAAATCAACACCAGTGGGGCCTTCCTCACACAAGCGCTCAATCACATGTATAAACTCCGTACAAACCTGCAACCTTCTGAAAGCATCCAGTCTCAAGACTTCTAGAGAAAGACATGAACTTGTAAAGAAAGACCTTGCATCTGCTGGCCGGAGGCTTGCCAGGTGGTGTGAGTGCTCGAGACATGATAGAGGTACTGTTATCTCTGGAGTTCTAGAGCCCCTTTTGAATGTATGAAGAATTGTGTGTTGAAACAAGGAATGGGCTCATAACATTGTTGGAAAGCAACAGGTTTGTGCTTAGTCCTCGAGACATTCTTTAATTCCACATCTGTCTCTAGAAGCCAGCTGTTCTTTTATGGGGGAAAGAAAGCAGCTTTGGCAAAACACGTTATTTTCCCTACAGAGCCTGTGGTCTCCTGCTTGGCATTGTCATGTGCGTGAACATTCGGTGACTTTAAGTGCTGTTTTTAAGAGATACAGTAGGAGTGGCGATGTGGCCTGGGGCTTTTTTCCTTTCTTGACCCTGATCTCTTGGGCTAAATTTAGATTCTCCTAGAGTTTGTTCACACAGGGAAGGATGGCAGATGAGTGGCAAGATGTTGACCAGGGTTCGCCATCTAAGCCCAATAAAGATGGACTCCATGCAAATATCACGTTGGGTTTTTTCCCTGCATTACTACCAAGTGAAGAGAGCAAGTCATGTGGCTAAAATGGTCTGACTGATCATACGGAGATGTGTGGCAGGAAGGGGTGATCTTTAGACTGACCCTCTGGGTGTTTCTTGTTTTCTTGGCTACCTCTGGTTAAGGTGTAGTGGGTTTTTATCAAGAGGAAAGGCAGGGAACTCCCTGGGTGCTTCACGCTCAGCCACCATCATGAACGACACAACAGCTGTCCAGGTGAGGAAGTTCATGACCAGCTGGACTCCTTCAGTGGAAACAGATGGTCATTGATGTTCTTCACCCTGGGAAGGCACTAAGACAGAAATTCACAATGTACAAGACCACACTAGATGTCATCTTTGTATTTGGATCCAGAACCCATTTTGGTGGTAGCAAGACAACTGGCATGATTTAGAATTCCCTGCATTATGCAAAGGGAAAACAGACCCAAACATCGGTGTGCAAACAGCCTGCATGAGAAGAGGGAGACCCAAGGAAAGAAGCAAAAGGAATGCTAGAGCAGGATGAAGGGGGCCGGGGGGCTGCGGAAGGCCAGGTGCTGGCCAACAGCTAGAGACTGGATGACAGGAGTCAAGATTCTGCAGTGACTTTATCTGTGGTGATTGTGCAGATCTTTCATATTAATAAACCTAAAACTAAAAAAAGCCTGGGAGAAACAGATTGCATGTTCTGCGGTTTGTGAGGCTAAAGTCCAGGTGTTGGGAGGGGAAGTCGGGCCCATACTGGTGCTCTTGAGGGACGGAGGGAAGAGACCTGGTTGGAGGCAGCAGTGTCTCAACGAAGGGTCCATTTCTTTTCCTAGGAGAAATACTTTTCAATTGTAGTGGTTGGAATTGCTCTAGAAATGACCTTACCTTGAGAGGAGAAATGATTTATCTAGAGTCCTACAAGGGATAGAAGGTTTTGTAGCCAGCTAGTTTTCGACTGTAGCATTGTCAGAGCACATTCTCCCTGGGGCTCTTCAGAGTGGCATGCACTCTGAAGCCTAAAGAACAGCTTCTGGTTTTTGCCCTTCAGTGTTCAAAGTCCAGACTCCCTTTCCATTACTCAAGCATGGTTTCGCAGTTCCAAATCGCTACCCAGCTGTCCTTCCAACAAACAGCTGAGGGTTATTATTTGAACACTGAAGGGCCAGACACGAAGACCTGGTTCTCTGTCATTTAAGGTGACTGTTTTAGAGGGTTGCTTTCAGATGACAGGACTTGCCTTTTCATCTGGGGACTCTAGAACGAAACCACACGGCACTGAGGGGGTCAGGAGCCCCGTAGACCCTAATCTCACCCCTCAATACCTTGTGTTCTTGAAACCTGGCTGAGGTTCTTATCCAGTTTGTCTTCATATTTTACCCATAAAGCTTTGATGGTCGAGCTTTTCTCCCCCACCCCGGCACTTATTTTTGGCCCTATTATAACAAAGATTTTCCTCTTAACATGATTTAGGAAGATTTTATTTTTTTGGATGTTGTCAGAAATTACAGCAATATATTCATAAATACCTAATTACTACATTCAACAAATAATATTACAATACAATTAATTCAAACAAGTACACTTAGAACAGGTTTAATTTCACAGCATCTAAACTGCCCCCAGAGTGACCGAGGCATTCCTCCTCCCTCTCATGTACTGGTTTTACTGTTCTACCTTAAGCACAGGGTACATACAAAAGTAACACAACCAATTAGCATGGTCTTCCTCAGGTCAAGGCAGAGATAAGAGTTTCACTTAAGCGCTGGACGAGAAAGTTGGGATGAACAGGCTACTGCAACTAGTGAGGAAGTCAGTAACTGGTTTCCTTGTAGGAGTGCGGGGTGACTGCTACATGGCTAATACACACCGAAGAGTAACAGAATCAGCTTGTGCTGACCATCTCCATCTTGTGGTGGAACCTTGGAATTTTCTACTTAAAAACAGCTCAGAGGGAAAAGGGGGTTATTGGATTTTTAAGATTTGGCAGCATTATTGAGCTATTTGAGGAAAATACCATTCCACGAACAAACTTGAGATTTCTTGTGTTGTAATTCTCGGCTGCTGAAAGTGTGGGCTCCTTTTAATATTCTTGGAATTTCCTTAAGGATATAATCTATGAGAATGTAAATGCCAATTAAGTGTTTAGCCTCTATTCTTTCTATAGGAGAAATTGTTAAGTCTTACCTGGGTCACTTATCTGCGATAATGGATTAAGATCCTATTTTATGTCCATTTGGCTCTAATTATGTGAAAACATTTCCGAATGATGAGGTTATATAGTGCCAAGTTTTGGGGAGAGCTCTGGTTTGTTTCTAATGATCTGATTAAATGTGGAACCACATGACCTTGGCTTTGGAAGAGCACCCTCACAAGTTGAGTGAAATCCCCTTCAGGACAGATGGCAGCCCTCTCTTCCAGGTGCGGCAGGAAGACACAAGGTCGTGAAAGACAGAGGTAGAGGTCTTCACGAAAATGCTGACAGAAGTTGCATAACCCATTCTAGAGCAAATGTGGTGTACTTCTGAACTTCATCTTTTAAACTCATTGTGAACTAGCTGAACAAAAAGCTTCAGAAATTATATATCTGTCAAATTTTAAGCCCAAACTGAAGAGACTTAGGTGCTACTGGGCTGCTTCTGAATCATCTGAAAATTACCAGATGGGAAAAACCATTACTGAGCACTAGGTCTTAATGGTACACTTTTGTTTTCTAAAGATGCTTTCTGACCTTTTTCTGAGTTTCTTCATGCTGCCTTACTGGTTTATGTGCTGATTGTCTTATTACAGACAGGTGAGAGTGGAGGGAGGCGGAGGGACAGAAGCAGGGAGGCAGGGGCAAGGGGGTGTTTTCAGAAGGGCCAAGAGCAGTTCTTCTAGCTCGGGGACACAGCTTGTACCCCTGGTCAGAGACCTCTCCCGTATGGCTGCATCGCTTTACCCCACGACCTCTTCCCATTACAGAAAACCCCTACAAGGGACTCCCCTTGGCTGGTGAAGGGCTGGGCTGTGCTTCCTGTTTCCTCTGGCCGTTGCCAAGCTGATCAGCAGGGGCATCCAGCCCTTTCCTGTGATGGTGGGGGGACAGGGAGTGAGGTGCTAAGATGTAACTCTTAAGCTTGCTGTTTCAGACTGGAGGTAGCAAGCGGACTTTAGAGAAATTCAGTAATAGTTTTCCCTGACTGTTGGCAGTAGAGCTCCCTCTGAACACCTGTCCCCACTTGTGGAACATGTTGATCTCTCAATGTCTTTGCAGGGGAGGAGGCCCACAGAACAGGCCTTCGTTCTCTTCAAGTCGTTTTTGTGGAGAGGAAGGCGCTTGTTGACTGCTGATAATACTGGCGGCACTTTTTGTCTGAGTTTGCTAATAACTGGAAGATTCTTGGCAGACATACAAAGCAAACGGTGTGGGAACAGATAAAGCAACTCAGTGCCATCTGCCAGCAAGCTGTTCCGCACAGCTAAGGTCTGGGGCTGAGGGCGCGGCCACTGATCGCAGTGAGGAGCCTTCCTGAAGGTCAGCCAGCGCTTCCCCTGACCCAGGGTGAAGGGGACAGTAGCCGTCAGGATTCTTGCCTCCACCTCCACCTCCACCCCCACCCCCGACAGACCAACCACTGGCTGCTTTGGCCTCTGGTTTAGGCCCGTTCGGCAAGAGATTATCTGCTTGATCTAGATTAGACACTGCCTGAATGAGCAGTAACTGGGACGAGAAGGAAACACTCTTTGCACTGAGATGGCATTCCTAGTTTCTAGCCGCTCCTGTGCTCATAACAGTTAAGTTCGAGAGGAGAAGTTCAGCTCAGACATTGTTTACCCTACTTTTAGGCTTTTACAAAGCTTTGCATCTAAATAAAGCTTCTAAAGTTTCTACTTTGCACCTGTTCTCAGACTGCTGTAAGACACCTTAGAATCCTATCACAGAACTCGCTCACTTCCTGACCGGTTCTTTCAACAGAGCTGCATGCGCACACAGGTGCACACGCACGGCAGCTGCTTGTTCCCGCCTGGGGACGAGCCCCTCCTCAATAGCGACTGGCTCTGTTTGCTGTCCAGAGCCAGGGGGAGGGGGCAGGAGGAGGTAAGAAGTAACACATGGCTTTCTACATCACTTTCTGGTACAACTCAAAAATGAAGTGATCGCATAGGCGCCAGTGGTAAGCTCTTTTACTTTTCTTCTTCTTTAATTTTTAAAAACACTTCAATATTTTAATGTCCTGACCAGCAGCAGTACAAACACTAAAAGCAAGTTTTTTTGCCCAGAAAAACAAAAGCAAAAAAACAAACAAAACCCCCAAACAGGAAAACAAACAAACAAAAATCCCCCCAAACCACATATTAAAAATGGCAGGCTTTTTATAACAATAATTAAAGTAATAAAAACATACAAAACTTTGTTTTTTAATATATATACACAGTACAAGGCTGAAGCACCTTTGACTTTTCTCTCAAAATTTACGTTTGTATGAAAACACAGCCCACTCCAGTAACAATTTGGTGGGTGTGAACATATGTATACATAGAGCTCTGTACATTTTCCCCCACGGAGTAATAAAAAGGTACCTTCAGTTTGTTGATGCACTTTAGAGAAGAGCTTTTCCAGAGAAAAGCCTTTGGGTGAGGCTTCAGTACTGTTGCTTTGTGTGCTCCTAGGACCTGTTGCTTCGAAAATTTTGCAGAAAAGTAACAAACAAATGAGCCCTTTACCGGAAATGCACCCCACCTTCTTCCAGCTGAAGCAGGTCTGAGTCCTGGGGAGGAGCGAGGCCGACCCCCATGCTGCAGTGAAAGCAGACTGGGTTCTCAGGACGTGCTAACACGGCCACACCAGGAACAGAACACGCTCGGTTTGATCCAGTCTTATGCACCCAGGGGCCATAAATGATCAAGTTTTAGTGTTGGTAAGGGAGCCTTCACTTTCAGATTCGAAAATAATGACCGGGGGAAGAATAAAACCACCTTTAAAAAGAAAGAACTATGGGCGTCCTACATTGGTTGCTCACTGAATGACAAAGGTGATTCAGTTGCATTGAAGTCAAGGCGAGTTCGTTCGTTCTTCAGAGCCTGGAATCCTTTGCTTCATGCATGGCACATTCTTTTTTTTTGTTTTTTCTGTTTTTAAGCTTCAAACCTCCCAGTGAAAAATATTAAATATTCAAGGTAATAAAATAGATAATATTTCTATACTATAGGTTCGGCCTAGTGCAAGGGAAACCGTCACCTAGGATATCCCTTAAAGTAACCTCTAGGCCAATGCATTGCAGGCAACGCAAGGCACTTCCTTAAGTGATCCAGTTCTGCCTGGAGTCGCTCCCTCTCTGAAACAATCTTCTGTTTCTGGCTCCTCAACTCCTGGAGAGAGAGAGATTCAGGTAAAACATTCAGTTTTGTAGCGGAGAAATGGGCGTGATGCATGAATGCTCTGGGGGCCATGAGGAAAGGCACACCTTCTAGGCTCCAGAAACCTCCCCCTTCCTGGCTCAGGATTCTGACCGTGGTCTCCTGACAAACCAGTTCAAGCTGTGCCCAAAGCCTTAGGTTCTCACAAGGACCTGCTCACTCCCATAGAACCAGGGTACACCTGCTTGGCTCAATACCCCTAAGATTTTAAAAAATTAGCCCATAAAGCTTTTGCTGCTCTGGAGTGGCCAAGATCTGCAAGCCCCATGGCCCCATGCGCCAAGAGGAAGCCAGGGAGTGGGTAATAGGGGCGCAGCTGACAGAGCAGTGGAACCAGGCTACAGGAGTAGGAGGGGCCGCTGTCCTAAGAGTTTTGCTCCTCCTGTAAGATCCTCTTCCATTCAGCAAATTGTCCACAGGGGAGATGGATACAGGTACTAACTGGCCCAGAGGGAGATACAAATTAACCTCTCACTTCCAGGATCAATATTCTGTAAATTCACAGTACCTCCCCCTTTAGCTAAAACCTGGAGAACCAGTTGGCTCCTGAATCCCCACCCTGGCCAATTACAAGTTGTAGCTTCATAAAAGAGCATTACCCCTCAAAACTCAGCTGTATGGGTAATGAATGCAAACTTGAAAGGTTAAAGCATGGGGTGTTTTAAGACCACCCCCACGCAGCTGATTTTTTTTCTCTTTCCCTGTGTGTGGCACCCGAGACTCACCGCCATGCTGTGGGAGAGCTGCTCCGCTGTGAGGCTGAGGCTATAGTGCTGTGCCTCCAGCCGTCTGCACTGCGTCTGCAGCACCTGCCGCTCCAGGTTTTGCTCTGAAAAGATAAGCGATGTTGGTATGTTTTCTGTACCCAGGGGCCATGGGCTTGGTCAGGGCTGCCCTTCTCTTCAGGCAGCCAGGGCTCTCCTTTGGACCACAGCGCCCCAGCCCTGTGCATTACATAGGGAAGTCCAGCCCAGTGGCATACAGAGGACCTAGCATCAAAAGGCTATTTAAGACATACACCTTAGGAAGTCATTAAGGGCAAATTTACGGTCTTAAAATGCATTTTTCGAAAGAAAAGAAAAAAATTTAAGACTTAGGTATGAAAGCTTTTAATAAGCTGCTAAAAAAAAAAAAAGGCCAGAGTAAACTTGGACTTTGAAAGTGTAATATCTCTGCCTTTCCAAAAGATCTTGGGCCTTCTTTTAACAGGAGTGACTTCAAACTTTCAAGGATAAATCTCTGCTTTCTATGAAGTGTTTCAAGAATGAAAACCAGGCTGGGCTGAAGCCTTATTTGTTGGTCCAATACTAGTGCTTTTCCTCTATCAGTTGTGGAAACCTATACAGAAAAAGGGGTCAGCAACTCCAAGTAGTCTGGAATGCTGAGCCCCTTACCTGCAGGGCCCTAGTCCTGGAGAGTCCCGCAGTCCTGGGATGGACTTTATGGGAACGAGAAGTAAACTTTTTTTTTTTGGTAGTTTAGCAATAAAACCCATCTCCTACCACTGAAGAACACAGACTGAAAGTGCTAACAAACTCAGCAAGCAACATCAGAGAACACCAAAGGCAAAAAAACTAAGGCTGTCCCCTTTACGGACCTATGCACCACGAGAACTCTGACGGTCCTGTGCCATCAACACAGCAGCCAATGAGAACCTTTATTTCTTCCCAGTTTCATAAACCAGAGAAGAGCTCCATTAGTGCTGTGCTCTGTTCAATAGCCCAGAGGTCCCCGGCATGACAGCAGGACAAGAAGTGAAAACTCAAAAGAACTAAATTTGATTGACAGATCTGATCATCTATGATCATATAAGGAATAAAGGAAAATAAAAACTAAAAAAATCCATGATAACCCAACTGACACCTAAAACTCAACGTAATAAAAGGATGCTGCTTGGGCACCTGGGTGGCTCAGATGGTTAAGCGTCTGCTTTCAGCTCAGGTCATGATCCCAGAGTCCTGGGATCGGGTCCCACATCGGGCTCCCTGCTCCTTGGGAGCCTGCTTCTCCCTCTGCCTGTCTCTCTCTCTCTCTCTCTCTCATGAATAAATAAATTAAAAAAAAAAAAAAAAAAAAGATGCTGCTTACGGCAAAAAAAAAGGGGGGGAGTAAATGGTTTAATGCAATTTAATACCATAATCATAGAGGGAATAGCGCTGCTATCAAAAATATTCTCCCCAAGTCTATAAATTCAGTGCAACTGCAAATTCTAAGAATTTCTTGGAACAAACAAGGTGATCCTAAAATCCATGGAGGAACCCCCAAGGGCCCAGAACAGTGCAGATGCAAGCATGCTCCTCAGACAGCGGAGAGCGGCCGAGCCAGTGCACCCACGGCATGGCCCAGAGATGGGCTCCACAGCTCGCCCTGGGCGTGGGGGAGGGGGCAGAGACGGCACCCCACAAACTGCCAGGGTAACTGGCTATTCGGGGGGTGGAGGGGTGAACGTCTACCTTAAGCCATGCACAGAAATGAATTCTAGGCCTAACAAAAGCAGAGCCTGAAGAATTGTAGAAGAAAATGGAGAGAATCATGTGCTCGGGGCAGTGAAGGATTCCCAACAAGGCACCAAAATACAAACCCAGCTAAGGTGGACACATTTCACTCTGAAAAAATGCTCTATATTGGTTCTGGATACACGTGTATTCACTTGGAAACAACATGTAAGGAGTGAGCAGTTCAAAACAGGATTCCCCGTGGGGGAGGAAGCAAAGTGCAGGAGCAGATAGGCTGCTTGTGGCTACACAGGCATTTCCTTCGTGAACGCATTTAAAATGCGTTCTCAAAGGATTTGCAATGATTAGGACATTCCATAATCAAATGTAAAAGGATTCCCAGTCCATGCTCAAAATGAAGACTCCTCTGTGAATGTTAAGGCGTGAGTCAGGGAGTGGTAGCCCCCCTCCCCGAAACCTCAAAGATGGTGGAGGCCGGAGGCCAGCAGTGGGCACCCAGCTCACCACCTGCCCTTCCAGACGGGGGAGGGGCCCCCTGCACTGAAGTTAAAGCACTGTAGCCTCCCAGCCTCCCAGCTAGATGCCTCTTGAGGAAACGGAGAAGCAGAGAAACGAGCCAGTGTGCGACAAGCACAAGGACAGCACTCAGGCCATGTGACCCCGCCCCACCCGTGGCCCCTCACCCCGAAGCGCTAGGCCAGGGCGGGAGAGGCGTGTGGTGGCTGCCGAGGGCTCACCTCCCTGAGCCAAGCACTAGCCCGGGAGGGTGACAGAGCCTGTGAGCGAACTGCCAGCAGCCTTGAGGCACTGGAAGGGGAGGCAGCCTCTGGCAGTGACAAGGCCTCACTACCTGGGGCTCAGCTGAGTTAATAAACCTTGTTTTCAGGCCCCTTGTGGGTAGCCACCACAGTCAGAACTGAGAGAATGCTTAGAAGCGCGACGGAAGACAGCAAGCACAGAGAGCATGTCCCAGGTCTGGCTGTCAGACCGAGTGGTGGCAGGCACTGGAACTTAAAATTCCTCCAGTGACTGTGGCCTCCGGTCTGTCAACTGGGGCACCTGCAGAAGCCCGAGGAACAGGTCTTGAAATAGGCAGAGTAGCAGAGAACTACCTAGTTGTGCCCCAGGAAGCTGAGTGTCAGTGCCCGCACTTAAGAGTCCCCAGGGTTGGCAGGGAGATCCCACACGGATGGATTGAGTGAGCTGCTTTCACTTTCCCACAGCCCTCCCCCCCCCCCCAGCCCCGTACCTTCCATATGTTCCTGGTAAGCTTCGAAGATTGCCTCAATCCCTTGCCACCTGCGCCTGGGGGGTTCGTCGTCCTCCCCCTCCCCGTCTTCCTCGTCCTCCTCTGAGTCCTGGTCCGTCTCCTGCGTGAGGGGGCCCTTCCTCCCAGGGGGCGCCTCCTGCTGCCCGTTGTGCTGGGGCAGAGGGAGGCGGCTGGAGGACTGGAGCTCGGGAATGTTGTAGTGGATGGACGTGTCCACTTTGTGGTTCTGCTCTGCAGACAGCACGGCTGCGTTCCCTGAGGGGGCAGAACAGGCTCGTCACAGGCCTGCAGGAGTCTGTGTGACTGCAGGCCTGCTGACCAGAGGCAGTACGGACAGACCTATGCCCTTCAGAGGTCAAACATGGCCCCCCAGGGCAAGGTCAGAGAGCCCTAACAACCACAGCAGACCTGTATGTAGTCCACTCAGTCCTAACGGCTGTGCGGTCCCAGCCACGCCGATCCCAGAGCGTCAGCATCCTGTTTTAGGAAATGGTGCTGGAGCCTGGTCTGCAGCTGGCCCTCTGTGGATACCAGTGCCCGCTCTCTCGGAAAGTGCATGTCCCGTGGTCCCCAGGCATACCCCGTTAGCTGTCGTTTGGACCTGTCTAGACAAGGTTGGCGCTGCCCTGTGGCATGGCCCCTCAGGGGACGTCCTCTAACAGGTACACATGGCCTCTGCTATAGTCTGGGACGTGCTCACGCAATGCACTTGTAGGGCTCAGACTAGCAGGAGATGCATGGCTTTAAAATCCTGAGGAAGGGGTGCCAGGGTGGCACAGCTGGTGGAGCGTCCGACTCTGGAATTCTGTTCAGGTTGGAACCTCTGGGCCCCTGGGATGGAGCCCTGTGTCAGCCTCTGTGCTGGGCATAGAGCCTGCTTCGGATTCTTGCTCTCCCTCCCTGACCCTTGCACGTGTGCTAAAATAAATGAACAAATCTTAAAAAAAAAAAAAAAAAAGTCTTGAGGAAACAGTTGAGTGTAATGTCAGGAAAGGGTTGATGTAAAATAAGGCAGGAAAAACATGTCCTAGATCCACAGAAAAGCCTCTGTGAGGTGTGTCTGGGAGGGCATGGGGTATTTAACCCAGGCATCTTGTCAAAGTATTTTCTCCTTGAAAAACAGGATTTGTTCAAGTAAACTCATGACCAACACCCAGTCAAGAATTCCTCCAGATTTTCACTGCGAAAACCACCATCCTTGCTCTTTGGTATCATTCTGTCTCTGTTGATGGCGGCGTTAACTTACCCAGGAGATGCTGACACAGCGTCAGAGCTCTGTGTCTACAGATGCTTACTTACCCACATTCATCTTTTATAGCTTGCAGTAAGAAACATGTTTAAAACGGCTTTGGCCTAATAACCTAATTATCTTCTTCTATTAGAGCATACGAAAATTTTATACTCAGTAGTTACTTTACCATTGGGGATTCTTTTCCCTCCAGTCAGTTTCAACCTTTGATTCAGTGAGAATGAGCTGTAGTGACTCCCGTTCTCCCACCTTCGGGGACTCCCACCAAAATGTCCAAGGGGAGTGGATCCGGGGACTCGAGTGTTATACAAAGTGCTCTCTGAGGTTACTGGAACAAACACCTGCTGGTCTGGTTATCAAAGAGCAGGGAGATTTCCAGGTGAGTGTGTACGGGAATGCTGGAAAATCCACAAGCTACAGAAGGAACAGAACCTCTCTGTGCCTGAGAGACCCCTCACCTGGCCCTACAAAAAGGAAGGGCTTCTAACTCAACTCAGAGGACACTGCTCGCTAACTTTTCTTGAAGTGTGGTCAGTAGGCCAGGGGCACCATCATCACCTGGGCACCTGTTAGCAACGGAGACTTCTCGGTCCCGTCTCATGTGCCTTGTGCACACTGAAGTTTAAGAGGCAAGCTTCTGGCTGCAGCTGAGTGCTCCAGGCTGCTCTCGTGACATGGGAGGACAGGGACAGGCAGCCTCTTTACCTTTATGCTTCTGCAGGGCCTTCTGGGTGGACTGCAGCACAGACTCGTGGAACTGATGTGCAAACTCCTCCGCCATGAAGGGCTCCCATGGCTTGCTCTTCCCGTTGATGCTGTGGGACAGTGGCACGGGAATGTCCTTGGGCGCAGGGCCCCGGATGTAATGAAGCATGCTTAGGCTCTTCTTGCCCCCGGGGCCCTCGCTCAGCCTGGCCTTCTCGCCGCTGGCAGGAGCTGCCTCCTGGACCTGCGACAGCTCCTGGGGCCGGAGCTGCTCCAGTCTCCCAGTCTCCATGGCGTTTGCAACATCAGACAAGGAAGCAGCAACACCCACAGGCTTCTCCGTATCCACAGAGGGTTGCTGCGTGGCTGGTTCTTTTAGAGACAGAAAGCGAGGAAAATGTTAAGAGGGGCAAGTGAACAGGCGGACCCTGACCTCTAGAGCTTATATTTAATAAAGACCTAGTGCAAAAGACGAAGACTCAGGGGGCCGTTTAATTAAACGTCAGTGAGCGCGTGTGGTCAGAAGGTGGGGCTGTGTTCAGCAGCAAGTCCATCCTTGAAAGGCGCCCCAGGAAGGCATCTGGGAAGAAAAGAGAATCTGCGGGAAGAAGCAAGTTGCTTCAGATCACCCAAAAGGTAGATGTTACGTGGCCCAAACCGGTAAGAAAGACCACGTTAGGATTTGAGAACAGGGCCGGACCATAAAGATTTCCTGCTCCACTCAGCAGCGCAGCAAGGTTTAACCGAAGCCATGGGAGAGAGGGAGAGAGAGAGAGAGAGGGAGAGGGAGGGAGAGAGGGAGGGAGAGAGAGGAGGTGTGAAAGCAGGTGTCAGAGAGGCCTGCAAGGCAGAACAAGCAAGACGGAGACACGGGAGAAGAGTGCCAACTTGGGGCCAGCAGGAGCAGCAGAGCCGAAGCAGCAGGTGCCAGAATCCAGGGCATGGGGCTTCCGAGGCCTGGCTGGACTGTGACTACCCTGGCCCGCCAAAGACAGCCCTGCGGAAGCCGGGACCGTCCCCATCGGCTCGCAGCCCTGACTTCCCACTCTCCTGCTCTGTCCCGAGGACAGCCTTCTCAACCGTGCAGGGAGCTTCTGAGAGAGAGAGAGAGAGATGGAGAGAAACACTCTGTTTCCTGGAGGAAAGATTCATGACGAAGAAGACCTTGAGGGGTCGCCTCTGACCTTGGGCAGCCCTCGGGACAGTCCCAGGCGGCGGCAGAGGAAGGGGCTGTCCTTCCCGCCCTGGGCCTTACCGCTCAGGGAGACAGCAGGACTGTCCCTCGGAGAATTCCTGAGTGGGTCTGCCACTGCTGCGGACAGGGCCTTCTGCTTCATGGCATGGAGCATTTCAACAAGTTTCTCTTTGTCTATGAGAAAAGCAGCCTGAGATTAACAACACCGTTGCGTCACTGCTGAGAGGGAAGGGGAGCAGGCTGCTAGCCCAGGCCGTGACTGGCAGGTCCAAGTCCTTTAAACCAAGAACAACAAAGCAAGCACCAAGGGGACAGGCTGTGTTTAAAGGAAGAAACCTTCATTTTAGAGTAAGCCCAGTTTCTGCTCAGGTTTTACTACAGAGCGTTCTAGATGCATTCCAAAAATAACCATGTGTGTACAGCAAAATAACGGGTTCCTAGGGTTCCTATGATCTTCGGAGGTGACTGCCGACGCCGTATTCTCTCAGACGCACGAAAGGTCCCAACGCAAAGAAGCAACCCCGAAGATCCACACAGCACTTCTGGAAGCAGAGGCTGCTGCTTCCAGGCTTCCAGGTGCATCCTCCTCCCCTATAGCTCCTGGTATGCGAGCCCAAGTCCCAGGATGGTTGCCATCTACCGAAACGGGACCAGAGCCCCGTGACGCCTACTGTGGCGAGTCCCTGTTGCGGTGGCACTTGTTACTGACACGAAGTGCTTATGTTACTGGTGGCGTCCGCTAGGAATTAGGAATTAAGTCGGGCAAAAAGATGCTCGTTACAGACTGTGGCTGTTCCCAGGGAATGGTGCTGGTGATCACACGTCACTGCCTCAGGGAGTGCATGGCTTCCGCTTTGCTGGTTAAAGGCAAAAAGCAAACGCCACACCCCACTAATGAAGTAAATGGAAGCAAGTACGTGACCAGTAAGCACTTCTGCTTTCACTTGGACTCCTTCCAGAGAGAAGTGACCACCTAGGTGTCAGCAAGTTGGACTTGGAAGTGTGCAAATGAGCACCTGGACAGGCCAAGTTCTCACCTGAACTCATATCCTGATGCTAAGCGAGCGTGGGGAGCAGACCCAAGAAGGGGATACCAGAATGCGTTTACAGCGCACCACTCCTTCTGCACTATGGACTCCAGCCCAAGGAGGCGGCCCCAACATGGCCCCTGGTGTCCGGAAGGACCTGGAAGCACCTTCCAGGGCAAGCTGTCTCATCACGACATCTGCTGGCTCTGCCCGGCTGCCACAGGCCACCCCGAGCCGCCTGCCGTGGGAACACGAAGCGCCGTGGGCCATGCCGGCCCCCACCAAGAGGAAAGAGCCGCTACCGCGGGAAGGTGCGGTGCGACCCTGCACCTGGGGGTCGCCCCACTTGCCGCCCCAAGTGCTGGGAGGTCTGACAAGTGACAGAGCAGCCGACAAAAGTGGGCTTTACACACAGAACAGAGGCCACTGATGCGACAAAAGAAATGTGCTCCAAGGAAGGGAATTTGCATTTGGGGTGGAGAGAAATTGGATGCCAGAGAGACACCAGGGCAGGCCTGAGAGAGCAAAGCAGCCGCCGCCTTGGGGGCCAGAGGGAGTTGAGAGAGCCCCAGGGTGAAGTGGTTTCAGATCCCACCAGGAGCCCACGGCCCCTGCTTGTCCAGAAGTTCATGGCCACAGTGACCCCACCCCGTGGGGCCCGCACCAGGCCGTACCTTTTCTCTTCTCGGCACTGATGTGAGTCAGGTTGAAGATGGTCAGGAACTTCTTCTTCTCTTCAAAATTGGGGCTATTGTTCATCTCGTCGGGACTGTAGCGCGTGGACAGTGCCAGTCTCGGTGAAGGCGTCTGCCGCTTGTTCTGAATCATCGGGGGCGACGGGCTTCTCTCCCTCAGCATCCGCCGCCGCTTCCTCCGCTTCTGGGTCAGCAATTCCTCCTTCTGCTGTTGGGTGGTCAAGCCAAAAAGTTGCAAAAACTCTAGCTTCTAGATTGGGAAAGAAAACAAATGAGTTTGAAACCACTGGCAGTGGCATGCTTCCACTGTCCCAGGGGCCCCTCTTGGGGTCCAACGCAGCCCACGTGCCGTGGCCCACTCTGCGCCGGGCCACAGAGGGGGAGGACTGTGACAGCGAGCACATCCAGACACCCACGGTCTGTGGGTATGGAGGAGCACAGGGAGTCCCAGCAAGTGCGGGGCTGCCCGGCACAGTGGGAGGGAAGCCAAGAAGCAGGCTCTGACGGGGGCGGGGCACCAGAAGCCCAGCCCGCAGCCCCACACAGCGGGGACCAGGTTCCAGATACCTCGGAGGAAGTGTCCAGCTTGAGTGGCGGCTGCTCGGCCACGCAGCGGAGGTGGGCCCTGACCTCCTCCTCGTCGCTCTCATCGTAAGAGTCATCCAGGTCGTAGAAGTAGCCTAGGGGCAAGAACAGGTTTGCTGGGCTGGGCAAGGAGCCTTGTCCTCCAGCGGATGCTGCATACACGGGGCCCCTCTGTGACGTGTGTACAGATGCACCTGTGAGACCAAGCCCTGCCGACTGCTCCGAGCACCCCAAAACCCAGATTCCTTTTATCCCAGGTGGAAATGTGCATTGACCCCCAGTCCTAAGATTTTAGCACTTTATAGGGATGGCAGCTGGGGGGTGGGGGTAGAGGATGCAGGAGGCAGACGCCAGGCTTCCTCTGGACCCCAAGTGACCAGGCTAAGGTAGCGTGAACGGACAGTGATCTCTCTGCAGGGAATCACTCATCCCGCAGGCCTGGGGCTGTGTCCATGGCAACCCAAGGCTGTGTGTGCACATCCACTCCCTGCCTACTGTGGCCATCTGGGTCCACTACCCAGGAGGGGACAGGCACACTCAGGGCCCTACCTAAGGCAAAGAGCATGCCCAGAAACTCAGATGCAGAGAACCGTAGAACCCCTGCACCAAGGGCACCAGGGTATCCCCTCATCCTCCCTCACAAGGCAAGCGGAGGAGAAAAATACTAGTCAGGCCCAAAATCTAGCCTAGAACAACCACCTGGGAAGACCTGGCCTTGGCCCCAGCTTCTGGCTCTGAGTTCAACAGGAGAAAAGAAACCGGTCTGGAGCCGCCCCTGCCCCCTCCTGGTCAGACAGGGTGTGCAGGTGGGGGACAGCCAAGGCCACCCCGGGCCTGCTGGCTGACACTCCCCCACCCCCACCGCAGGAGCAGGAAGGAAAGGGGGCCAGACCGCCCCCGAGGACGGCAGCCCCTATGAGGAGCCCCCACCGGGCCCAGGCCTGTTCTCTCGACAGCCTCCTCCCTTGTTATGCTGCCCTATTAATATTTAAAACTGTCTTATGAGCCTCTGTTCATCACTTATTAATCATGCGTGTCTGTGGAACCATCCTTCCAGAGTTTTGATTTGGCTTTTTGGGCCAATTCTCATTGCAGCAGGAATGGCAGGGGACCCCAGGTCTGTCTCCCCAGTGGAGGTGTCAGCGACACGGAAGCCAGTGAACTTGCTCCCTGAGCTGCTCGAACCCCACGGCAGGAAGCGGGAGTGGGAGGGGGGCTGGCACCGCTGCCCCGCCCAGTCCCAGGAAGCCTCCAGGGAGACCGCACCTTTCTCCTGGGCCTCCCGCCGCCTGCGCTCCTCCAGGTCCAGCTTGCTGACCAGCCTCCGCCGCTGCTGCAGGAACTCATCATAGATGTAGGCAGGGTCGGGGCCCCGTGGGGCTGCAGGCCGGTAGGGCGAGCCTGGCTTCAGGGGCCCCGTGAGCTCCCCAAAGGGGGCAGGCTGGGTGAGGGAGGCCCGCTGCTGGCCCAGGATGGTCTGGGTGGATTTTTCCAGCTCAGCCAGAAAGGGCCCGGGCCCGTGAGGAAAGGCCTGGTGCTCCAGGCTCGCTGCCTCTCTTGGGGGTGGCTGGTACTTGTCCAGGGGGGTGGCCTCTCGCTTCCGGGGCCCCTCCTCCACCTTCTCTGGGCAGTAGACCCGTTCCACTTTCACCAGTGGGACGGCTGCCTGGCGGCTGGGCTCAAAGGGAGTGGGGTGGCTGTGCAGAGAGTGGCTCTCAGGGGCCCGCCGTGTCTCCAGGGTGCTGTCCATCAGGGACACCGGGTTCCAGAGGCCCGTGGGCACGGAATGGTGCTGGGGCTTGGGCGAGATGAGCGGCGGGGGCCCGCCAAAGTGCTGTGGGGGATCTCGGCTGCCCAGCTCTGGACGGTTCGGTCCTGGCCTAGGGAATGAGCAGAGCAGGCCATCAGTCACGACAGCAGCCACCCAGGCTGCCTGCCCAGAACTCCCCAGAGAGCAGAGCTGGAGGGGCACCAAGGCTGCTACCTCTACGACCCCTTGACAGGCTGCTGCCCGTGGACTCCCATTTCCCCCGCACACAGCTGGAGGCTGGCAGGTGTAGACTTTTGAGAGGACACAGAAGCTCAAAGGTGGACGCTGCTTGCTGAGGATAGAGACAGTCTCAGGCCAGACCCACTTCTGCTCCTGTTTCTCATCCATGACCTGGCAATAGCTCCTTATGTTCCACCACTTCCTGAATTCCTGTGAACTCTGTGTAAGGACAGACCTGCACCTTTGTTTTCCACAGGGAGTCCCACTGAAGGGAAAATAAAGACAAGTCCCTGACGGCAAAGGTGTGGCTTTGTCATCGGCACCCCCTCCACGTGTGCCAAGCCGTGGACACACGCAGAGGGCAGGCCAGCCTTCGAAGGGGCCACTCTCCTCTCTCCCAGGTGTTTTCCCAGCCCAGTGAGGCAGGGCAGACCTGCTTCCAGGGTGACCCTCACAGTTAGGGTGGGTCTGTGCTGTTGCTGAACCCCAGTGGTCCCCATCAGAACAGCAGCCCAGGTGGCTCAGTCGGTTAAGCATCTGCCTACGGCTCAGGTCCTTGATCTCAAGAGTCCCAGGATCGAGCCTCACGTCAGGCTCTCCGATCAGCGGGGAGTCTGCTTCTCCCTCTCCCTGTGTGCTCGCCCTCTCTCAGATAAATAAAATCTTAAAAAAAAAAAAAAAAAGGCAACAACCCCACGTAGCCCCAAAGCAGCAGCTACACCCCAAGAGTCTTCATGGAGCCAAGCCACTTGCTGGAGCATGGCGCCCCTACACTCAGGCAGGGCAGGAACTAGAGGGGACCTTTTATCAGGTAAGACACTTTACCTCTATTGTAGCAGGCTTTCAGGGCTCTCCCCACCTGGCTTGGGGCAGGGGACACTGAACCATAGCCACCAAGTTATTCCCAAATGCAGGCTGGGAGAAAACCCCCCAGTGACACTGTAGAGTACAAAAGGGGACTATATCAAGAAGCCACGTGTCCTTAAACAAGTCAAGGAACCCGTTAACAGACTAAATATGTCATGCACTGGAGCCAAGCACCGAATGGTTTTCTAGCTGGGAACACAAGGGCCCGTCAGATGTCAAGTTCATGCTGCTGTGAGGCCAAGTGTGCTGCCAGCTACTATGAGGACCACGGAGGCCAGGAGAGGGCAGCTGGGCGGCCAGATTCTGCGCCTGGTGCCCTAGGCCTACATGAGGCTGCTAGGTCCTGAGACAGAGGCTGCCCCTGCTGGGGACGGTGGTGCTGGGATCCTCGGGCCTTGGCAGAGGAAGACTCCCATGGGAGTCAGAATACCCAGACTTTATCAGGAGGCGCCGAGGGGTGCTGGCTGCTCTCCCAGGGCCCGGGGCGGGGAGAGAGTCAGATGAGCAGAGATCAGCTCACAGACAGAAGCAGCGGAACGGTCTGCAGAGAGGGGCCCTCGCTACGGCCACGGTGGGCAGTGCAGCTGTCGGCTGGGCCAGAGAATGTCACACCACATCAGCCCAGCCAATCCCCGCGGCTGCCCTACCCAACAGCAGAGCCCATGGCTGCGCCGTGGAACAGGCCAGCAGCACCCAGGGCACCGTCGGACGAGAGCTGAAGGTGAGAGAGGGAAGGAGCACGTGGACATCGAAAAAGCCTCCAACCCAGACGGCATCCCAGACATTAAAAGCTGGAGAGACACTCCCAAATCTTTCCACCCGGCCTCCCTTGTGCACAACTGGGGAAACTGAGTGAGGCCAGTATCCCCTGTCCCTGAGACGCGGCCAGGCTCTCTGCCAACTCTGGCTGATGAGCCCTGGAAGGCTGGATGGTGGGTTAGGGGACACTACTAGGCGGCAGCCAGACCAACAGGTGGGAGTGGGGAGGCCCGGGGGGCAGCTGTAAGTGTAGGAAGGGGCCCAACGATGGGCACAAAGGACTCCCGGGGGATCCCAGGATGGGGCTGGGAAATGGGTATTATTTATTGTAATAGCAATAAACAATTTCTTATTTAAAAATTAAATACAGTCCCCTTTTTCATTAAAAAACATTTGGACTTGAAAGCACGGGCAGAGAGAAAGAATGGTGTAATTATCAATTAAAGCTTCTCTCGCCCCCTCCAGGCGCCACGACTGTCCCCACGGGGAACACAGCCAGGCTGCGTGGGAAGGCCCTGGCTCTGGCTGGCGCCATCACTTGGGGACAGGCACCTGAGTACCTCTTTTCCCGGCCTGGAGTCTCTGCTTCCTCGCAGGCCAAACAGGCGAGTGGGGGGGGGCGGAGCACACGGTAGCAAGTGAAAGCACTCAGGAGGCAGGGTAAACTGCAGGTACCCCATAAATGCTGGCTGGCTACGAGCAAATCCAAGCATGAAGACCCCCCCCGCCGCCGCCTCCCGGGGGTTCCCTGGCACTCCCCGACCCCGCCGGGCCCCACCTGGTGCTCTCTGGCCTGTGCTCCACCTCCGTGGGCACCGGGGGCCGGCCCATGTCCAGGTGCTGCTCCAGCACCTGCTGCCGAAACTCCGACACCTGGGACTGCCGGTCCTCCTTCTCCTGCCGCAGCCGCCGCTGCCGCGCCAGCCACTTTTCCTCCTCGTTGGTGCGCTGGATCAGCAGGGCTGTGGTGGCGCTGCTGCCCGGCAGCGGGAAGATGCTGTGGTTGGAGAGGAGGCTGGGCACAGCGTGGTGGGCGGTGGGCGTGGGGTGCAAGGGGTGCTGCCCGGGCTTCGGGACTTGCAGGCCCGCCTCCTTCAGCTTCTCTGTGGGGGGGGGGAGAGGCGGGGGAGAGGGGAGGCTGTCACAGTGGCATCTCCGCAAAGGGGGTCCAGCCCATGCCTGCCCGCAGGGCCCCTACGGATGCTTTCAGAGAGCACGGCCTCTGGGGACGCTGGGTGGCCGGTGGGCACGGCTCCCGATCGGACCCGCCGGGGTGCTGCAGCTCCGGGCTCGCGCGGGCTCGCGAGAGCAGACCGAGCCCTCCAGAAGCGGGCAAGCCCGTTGTTAATGAGCCCTTGTTAAGTCTGATGACATAAACTCGCGACGACACAAAATACGTTCAAGACAAAGGTCATCCCTCCCTTCCTGATGCTTTCACTGCGGTTCACTACGGTGCGTGGCACCCTCGACGGGACCCACCGGGCACCTCTCCCCAGCTCCCGCCTGGCTCCGTACCCTCGCGTCTGCGGCCTGACGACGGGCCCCGCGGTACCTGCGCGCGTCGGCGTCAGCTGCTCCGAGGGCTTGCCCCGCTCCTCGGCGGCGTGGCTCCGCAGCCCGTGCAGCTCGGCCACGGGCAGGAAGGCCGGCTCCAGCGCCTTGGCCGCCAGCAGGTCCTTCTCGCGGGCCCGCTGCTCCCGCTGGCGCTCCAGCTCCCGCTCGCGCTCCTTCTCCCGCTCGCGCTCCAGCTCCTTCTCGCGCTCGCGCTCCTTCTCCCGCTCGCGCTCGCGCTCCTTCTCGCGCTCGCGGTCCGCTTCCCGCTCCCGCTCCCGCCTCAGCTCCTCATCCAGCTGCAGCCTGCGGGCCAGGGCACCGGGTGGTGACGGCGCTGCGCTGGTGCAGGGGGGCCAGGCACGGGCCCCCGAAGAGAACTCCCAGGAGCGCGAGACCAGTACTGTCACCCGCACCGTGACAGATGCACAGGGTCCCCCGGAGACTCCAAGGCCCCCGGACCGAAAGCCGCGCACCGACTCCCTGAGCCTCACCGCACGCTCACGCCAGGAGGCCGGCGACGGACAACGGGGCTCGACAGACACCCGACAGACACCCAGCTCGAAGGCGAGCACCGGCGCCGCCCCGCCTCAGCACAGGGCTTACCTCTCGGCGCTGAGGCTGGACATCCGCTCCGAGTGCAGCGCGGCCAGGGACGAGTGGGAGAGCTCGGGGGGGTAGCGGACCCCGGAGAGGTGCAGATGCATAGCGGACGGGTGCAGTGGGGGCAGGGAGCCGGGGGTGGGGATGGGGTAGAAGGGGGACCGTAGGGCTGACAAGCAGTAGGAGTCATCCATCCTGTGCGGAGAAGGGGGGGCCCAGTGAGAACCAATGTGAAAGAAAACAAAGCCCAGGCCCATCCGAAGGTGTCCCCCCGCCAGGGAAGAATGGCCGGGAGCCTCCACAAAGGCCATGGCCAGCCCCAGAGCCCCGCCAGGACCCTTCCAGGCCTGAACGGCAGGCCTCCTGTGAGCAGCAACCCACTCGCTACGGATGCATCGAGCTAGGATTTGGGAGGCTCCGGCACAGAGCAGAGCCGTGGCACACGCTGCCCCTGGGGCTTCTCGGTTACCCAGCAAAATAGGCAGCCAGTGGGGGAGGGGCAGCACGGACGACGGGGGGGGGGGGGGGGGGGACACTCCCACCGGGGGCAAACCCCTAATGGCTAACTCGGAAGGCTGGGGGCTGCTCCGAGACACGGAGCCCGGCCCCAGGATGTGAGGGTGACTCAGTGAGGTGCCTCACCTGAAGGCCGGGTGGGGGAATGGGTGCGGGGCCAGGTAGCTTGGGTGGTAGTAGGCGGCGGCGGCAGCGGCAGGGTCCAGGCCGAGGGGAGGCAGGGAGGACATGCGGAGGTCCTCGGTGGTGTGGTAGGGCCGGAAGCTCCTCAGGTAGTCCTCGGTCACGGTGCTCGGGGGCACCACGTGGTGCACAGGCCGCTGGAGGCTGCGGGTGGGGACGGACGGACGAGGAAAGGACAGTGGTGAGCAGAGTTCCTGCTCCAGGCTGAGCAACGGGTCATCCCCCCGCCCCGCACACCCCCATTCCCACCTCTGCCAGAACGCAGGGTCTTCAGGGACAGGTCCTGGCTCCCATGAGTGGGGGCGCAGGCGGGGTGGGAGAACCAGCCGTCACGTCAACATGGAAATGGATATAGCAGGCACAGACGGGGCCGCGGGCCCGGGGCTCAGCCGCCATCTGGCGGCTCTCAGCCTCAGCTGGTGCAGACCCACCGCCGGGCACCACCGCCAGAGCCTCCAGGATCCAGACCCCAAGCACACGTGCCCCCCCATCTGCAGACTTACTTGAGTGGTGGGAAGCGCGAATCCTGCACCACAGAGCTGGGGGAGATGCCAAAAGGGTAGGGGGTGCTGAGCAGGTGGGAGGGGATGGCTGGGCCCCCCGCCTTCTCCTGGGGCAGCGGGGGCTCCACGATGAGGCGCTCCCGACCACCGCTGCTGCCCCGAGAGCCAGCGTCCTGCTGGAGGACAGAGAGCACCGAGTGAGGACCGGGGTGCGGGGCTGGGGCCTCCTCCACACTCAGAGGGGCTCGCGCTCGGTGTGCTTTCCTTAAGGGTTTCTACCCCATCCTGCGGGGCACGCACAGGGCACGCAGGAGGCAGACCCCCCTCTGGGAGGACACGGCTTCTCACGGCAGGAGGGCTGGACTGAAACCCATCGCATTGCTGGGGCCACAAAACCAAGTGCCCGTGAGGGGACAGGGCACAGAGCAGGGGCCCCCACCTCGCACCAACCCCCATGCCCTCCCAGCGTGCCCTTCGCACAGGGTCCTGCCGGCTCCAAACCCGAACTCAGGGGGTTAGATGGTGCTGTTCCAGCACCCGCAGGAAGTGAGCTCCGCTCTGCAGCAGGGAGCAACAGAGCCAGCCGGGGCCCCCCGCCCGCGGATCACCAAGCGCGCACCGGCGAGCCCCAGGGGCTGAAGCGTCAGCTGTGCCAACAGCTGCCAGTGCGCATCACAGATCCCTCAGCCCCCTGGTGCCCACAGAGTCGCAGCCAAGAAGCTGGCGCTGCCCCCGGGCAGAAGGAGCTTGTCTAACCCCGCTGCCGACCCCTTGGGGTGGTCCTGGCACCAGCCACAGCAGGCAGCTGGGGTACCCCGACTGGTCGGACCTGTCTGGGGACAACTTTGCACACACTGGTGGTGGGCGGGGACCCCGCCGACCCTGGGAAACCAGAGGAGGGGCTTGCTCAAGGCAGGAAGGCGGAGGAAGAGGAGCCCCGACCAAGACCGAGGGCAGAGCCCGCCATGGCTGGCCACACGGAGGGACTGGAGGAGTGATAACCCCGGGAACACACACCACCCACAGCTGCGACCCCTCTGGCCATTCCCGTGGCTAAAGGGAGCTGAGCAGCAAGACCCCGAGCCCGTCAATAGCAGTTGGGGGGGGGCGGTTCCTGACGTCTATTCAGCATCTTCTGGATTCTGGAGCAGGCGCCAGCCTGGGGGTAGGGGTGGGAGGCCTCCACTATCCTGACAGCCCTTCTCAGCCTAAGCAAAGTCAGCACCAGCCCAGGCCTGACCTCAGCCATGGGGGTTCTGAGGCGTGGCCACAGGCTCCCCTAAGCCCCAGGAGCTTCTCGACCAGGACCTTCCTCCCGTCCTTCACCTGGCTGGACTGCCATGTCCCCCACCCCACCACCCCGGCATCCGGTCTGGCCGCTCCTGATAGACAGCAAACCAGGGCCGCAAAAAAGGAGGCGGCAGTCATGGGGGGTCAAACCCGGCCTGTCCACCCCAAATCCGTGGTGTTTCCACCGTGTCGCAAAACACCAAGCACACCTTGAAAACAAGGGGGGGGGGGGGGGGCCACCGGACGTGTGGCGGCTGAGCCCCGTCCCCGGAGGAGACGGCCTGTTCCCTACTCCTCCACATGTGTTCCTGGCTCGGCCAGGTCCAAGGCTCTCCGGTGCAGGCGGGGGAGGGGAGGAGCAGAGCTGCTGTGCCCTCCGACCCCCCCAGTCCCCCAGCACCAGGGCGGGGTGGGCCGTTGGGGCAGCTGAGGAGGGCCTGGCCAGTGCCAGGCCGCCGCCATGCCCGCCCCGGCCTTCCAGAAGACACATCTGTGATAATTAATCGAAGGAGACAGGCCGCTGATTGGAATTTTTAATGAGCGGCAACATCTGTTCCTGCCGGCACGCTGGCACGGCCCCTCTGCTCACGGCGGGGTCCTTGCAGGTTCGCGAACCCTGCCCTACCCTTCCCTGAAGGGGCGTTCACATGGCGGTATCAAGGGGACACGCACACCAACAGCCTGGGTCAAAGCGAGCCGCCCAGAACTCCCACCTCCCACTGTTCCAGAGACTTCTCTACAGGGGCCCACGCCTGGCCTCAGGTCCTGCAGATCCCTGTGTGGACAGCAGGATGGGCTCCCATCCGGGCCTGGAGACCCTAGAGGAGACCCATCGCTGCTGCTCTGTGCCTCCATTTCTCCACCTGTCAAGGGTGCCAATCGCAGCCCCAGCTCCTAGTGTGAGGGGAACGGAGGCACGGACATCAAGGGGAAGCGAGGTGGAGGACCAGCACGTGGCCCGCCCACGCGAATGTCGCAGGGGCCGTTTGCAGGTCAGGGCTTGCTGGGTCCTCCCACATGCCTATCACGTGGCACGGGGCCGCACTGGCACGGGGGCCCCCCACCACCCGGCTGCAGCACTCTGCTCCTCGTGGGGGCCGCCATGGGATGGAGATGGCCCCGTGCCTGTGGCCCGGGACGGACTGAACAGGGCACACCCTCTGGATAGGGAGGCCCCTCAGCTGCCCGAGCAGGACAGTGGCGGTAGCCAAGGGGCTGGACGGCAGAACCCTCGGAGGAAGTCCTCACCCCAAGGACCACATCTGGGGAGAAGCTCCAGGCACTGCGTACAGAATCCGACAGCAGAGCCAAGGCCCCCGGGTAGCCCCTGATGCGGGGGGGGGGGGGGGCACGCGAGTGCACCATCCCCAGAAGCCCCTTGTCCCCTCAGTGGGACAAAGCCCGGCTTGAAGGCGGCTGGGCCAGATGGCACCTTCCCACTGCAGCGGACAAACAAGGCGCTGGAGAGCCTGGGGGAGGGGCGGGCGGGCTGGACCCACGCGCCTTCCGTCTGGCTGGAGCCCCGTCAAGCTGGTGACGGGCACCTAGGAATGAGGTCGGCCTTCCTGGGGTGCTCAGAGGCTGCCCGGGCGGGAAGGGGCTGGGGCGGGCCCAGGCAGCAGCCCCCAAGCGGTGCCAGGCCACCCCGGGGGCACCCCAAGAGCGCGCGGGGCTCCCACCGCCATCCTGGCAGACGGGCGCGCGGCAAAGAGCATCTGGGGGCAGCTTTTATTTCCGAGCGGCGGCTGCAGGCACAGCTGTACCGATGAAGGGAGGACAAGGGGGGACGGGAGGGAGGGAAATCCGGCATTCTCTGGTGCTCGGAGAGAGGCTTCCAGGCAGGCAGGCAGGCCATGCCCTGTTAGCTTGAAAATAAACCATTTTTCATTTCAGCTGTCCTTTGTGGCTCCCACTACCTGGGAAACAGGACCCTGGCGACCCCGGTGACGGACAGGGCCCATAGCCCCGCCCCCACGATGCCCCACCTGGCGGGAGGCGCCCCCCCATCCCCTCCCCACCTTCACGCCTCTTGCCGGCTCCGCTCCCCAGAAGGATTACATTCTCCACTGAGCCTTTGTGCGGAGCTGATGAGCCATACATCATCTGCTAATCCAGTTCCCGTCCCGCCGCCCTCCCTGGTGGTATTAGCGTTTCATTAAGCGCCGCGGTGGTAAATGGCTGGAGCAGATCTATCACGGCCCTTTCTCTGGGGTGACTAAATGTTTCCGAGACAGGCAGGACCCTTGGAGGAGACCCCCGGAGGACTCCCACGGCGCAGGCGCTCGAGGAGGGAAATACATGGGAGGCATCCTAGTCCCGGCCGATAAGGGGGGAAGGAAGCCCCTCTGGGGCAGGGCAAAGGGGACAGGGTGGGCCCTGGCGGGTGTCACCAGTCAGGGCTGAGCCAGGGACACGGCAGGAGCCACCCCCGGGCCCCCGCCCCCCGGGGGGCCCTGAGGTCAAGGCGGATGGATCGCCAGAGGCAGCGAGCCCACCTGAAGACCCTTCGTCCTCCCTTAAACCAGGGCCAGCTCAGGCGTCTCCAAACCCCTCTGGCTGGAATCTGCCCGCCAGGCCCTACGCAGGCTCTCCCACCCCCAAACCGCACACGGGGCAGAGCCAAGGGCCGAGACGGCCGCTTCGAGATGCGCGCAGGGCCACACCCAGGAGGGTCCCAGCCTACAGCTGTTGCTAGGAATTCAGGGATACCAGCTGGGGTCCTTGTGGATGATCACCCTGGGTCAGGGCCTGCCCGACGGCCACCCCCTCTGTGGACAGAGACAGAGGCTGGCTACCCCCATCCCCCAGGGCAGAGGAAAGACAGATCACCAAGACGCTGGGGGTGCATGCGGCCCTGGTGCCCACCTGCCTCTCCACTTCCACTTTTCGTGTGGTCTCATTAGTACTTCCGAGTATTGCCACCCCCATGGGAACTAGGCAGAAAAACCCAGGAGGGAAACCTGGCCAGTGTTCTCCACCCCCCTGCTGGGTACCCACAGTGGTTCCCCACCCGCCCACCCCCCTACCGGGAGTCCCGGGTGTTGCTGGGGAGGGGGGTCAGCCAGGGCGGGGATGAGGAAAGGCTCCCAGGGCCTTCTGCAGGGGAGCAGCTGCACCAGGGAGTCCCCAAGTACCAGGGGAGGGGGGGCGGCTTTGGAAGCTAAGACGGAAACAGGAAACGCTGGTATCTTCCCTACTTGGATCCTCATTGGAGCAATAATCCCACCAGCTACTGTTTACCAAGTGCCAGGATGTGCAAACACCATTCTAAGTGCTTCACATGGGGCTACGGAAGAAACAGTGTCCGCCCCCCCATTTCTCATGTCAGGGCACTGACCCCCAGGTCCTCAAAACGGGAGCACGTTGGGAGGGCCCATGAAGAGGTCATTCAGGTCGGCCGTGATCCAACATGACTGGTGTCATCAAGAAAGGAGATCATGACACAGACGCGCACAGAGGGAGGGCCGGGTGAGGACCCGGGGAGAAGGCGGCCGTCTACACACCCAAAAGAGGGGCCTCAGGGGACAGCCACCCTGACCACAGTGGGGGCCAGAAGCACAAAGGACCAGACCCCTGGTCTGGTGCTTGGTTGTGGCCGCCTGACTGGCACCCTCGGATTTTCTTCCAACACACAGACCCTCCAGGTGAGCATGCCATGGGGTCTCGGGCCCCAAGCGCTGCCCTCCCGTGGCCGTGGCCGCACCCGCCTCCACCCCCGTGCCCTGGTGCTCACCTGCCGGCTCTCGCTCCTCCAGACGCCATTGACGGTCTTCGTTGGGGCAATCGTCACCACGGGGGGCGTGCTGGGCACACTGTGGCCCCCAGGGGGGACGATGATGGGGCCCATGGGCACGCGCTTGGGCGTGCTAGCTGGGGAGCTGTGGTTGGTGGCCGGCGAGGACACGGGGGACGACTCGCTGCTCAGTGAAGACCCTGCGGGAGAAGGAAGATACAGCAGCGTGAGTGGGGGGTCACACCCACTGAGGGCTCTGGCTGTCCCCAGCCACACCCCAGCTCACCTGAGCCCCGAGCCCCAACCCAAAGGGGAAAGGAGCCGGGAGCGCACGCAGGCCAGGCAGGAAGGGTGACCCCTCCACGCACTGATGGAGCCTGGGGCCCCGGCAGAGCAGACGTGCTCCCAGCGCGGGTGGGGGCAAGACCCCCAGGCTCAGAACAGGGGGTGTGTGCTTGTAGACAGAGGGGTTACAGGAGGCCCCGGCAGGGCGGGGACACGGGGAAGCGGCCACACCCACGGAAGGCTCATCTTTTTTCTTAGATATCGACTGCAATCTATTCCTAAGTTTTTAAAATTGAGATCTGGGTCACCATTTACAGCACAAAGGTCCCTGGTTTCTAACACATTCAGAGTCGTGCAACCAAGACCACTACCTGGCCCCAGATCACTTCTGTCCGCCCCACCCAAAGAACCCCGGAGCCCAGCGTCACTCCTCCCTGCTGTGCCCCTGGAGGCAGGGTGGAGGCGGCAGAGCCGGTGGGGGGCCCAGGGCTTAAGGCGGGCCGGGCAGGGCCTAGGGCGCGGCTGGGAGGAAAGCGCTCCAGGGTCCCCCCCACAGAAGGCCCTCATCGGCTGCTCAGGTTGATGGCTGCTCCCCCCACCAACGGGCAGCAAGGAGGTCAGCATGCTCCCCAGGTCCCGGCCCCCAGCAGGCACCCGTCTGGCCCGGTCTAGTCCGGCACTGTCTGGGGGTCGTCGAGAGCCCAGCCCGAGCCCGGCGAAATCCACAGCGCGTACTCACATCCATCCTGCACTCGAGGAAAGAGACCCCCTCACATGCCCACACCGTGGTGGGGCCACAGACACTGGCTCACGCCACCCAAGCCCCCGTCCCAGAACACCAACCCCAGACGGGCCCTATTTCACCTGAAAGCACGAGAGCAGCTGGGGCCACGTGTGAGGCAGGACACATGGGCAGCTATGGTCACGGGCGGGGGGCGGGGGTGGGGTGCGGTGCAGGGGCTCTGGCCGAGCTGCACGAGGAGGCCACTGCTGACAATCCCAAACAGCAGCTTGGAGACGCCCCGTCTTGCTCTTGGACTCAAAGGGCAAACACTGACCCTTCTGAAGGGTCCCCACGGGCACCTTCCGTTGGCAAGAGCCCCACGTGGGTGGGGGGAAAAGGAATCAAGGTCAGCAGAGACAGCTCCTCGCGGAAGGAGAATCCCATCGGTGTGCAGGCATCCTCCCAAACTTGCCTCGTTCCTGGGGGCCGAGGGACGCTCACCCTGTCTCCACACCACCTCCGGTGGCCACACTCGCGTTACCAGATGGAAGCTCCCGGCTGCCAAGGGGTCACTGCAGTGTCATCTATCCTTCCTGCCCCAGGGACCCTGACCAGCCAAGTGTGGCCTCAGCAGCGTCGCTAGGAAGTAGAGTGGCTGGACGTGGAGGCCCCGGCGACATCGGGACAGAGCCTTGACCTAAGCAACAGGACTCCCTAGGCTAGTACATGGCATGTGCAACTGTATAGGGCAGCCCCAAGGAGACACCCAGGCTCAACCGCACAGGCCAAGCCCCACAGCAGCCCAGCAGCACGTTCTGCTCAGCAATATCAAGACCACCACAGAGGCCGGGTGTCCCTCAAGGAACTGCCCGAGGGCTGCTGGCCCTGAACTGTGACCCCCGATTCCCCAGATGAAGCAGCAACCACAGCCCCCACCCCAAGAATTCTGCCACCCCACGCTAGCTGGACCAAGCCCAGCTCTGCTCCCCACTACCCTGGGTGAGGCCTGAACCTCCCGGTCAGAGGTCATTACCACCGGGGGAGAGTCAGTACTGCACAACAGGGCCACCTTCCCGTCCCAGTGGGGGCAGCCTGAGGCTTCGAAACAAGCTACGTCTGGCCAAGTCGGTGACCAGCCCGTCCTGCACCCAAAGCTGGTTTCATGACCGCCTCGGCTTTGGGCGGGTGGTTGTCACAGGCAGATCCAGCCAGTCCCGCGAGCAGAGCCGCCTCGGGGGCTGGTGGACTGCCGCCCGTGCTGAGCGGCTGACCGAGAGGCAGCTGGGTGCTTAGTTCTGTACCGTCACCCAGGTTTGTGCAACTTTGCAAAACCAACGGCATCTTCAAGTCCGGCAGCCCCATTCTGGGGAACACACCCAGCAACGCGGGGCTGATGCCCACCAGAGACACGGCAAGGGGGCTGCAGGCAGCCAGGACCACACGGGGCCCGTCCTCAGGCCGGAGCGCCCCCCCGCGGGGGCAGCAGGCAGCGCAACCACTGGAGCGCAGACAGCCAGGTAAGGCCCGGTCCGGCCCCTGGGGCGGGGGTGATAGCAGGCGGCCGGCCCCTGAGGTGTGGGGTCACTCCGAGACCCTGCCCCCGGACACTGGCCATCTGTGCGCTTTTCTCTGGCTTATCTAGATTGTGATAAAAAGTTCCATTCTGCATTTTTGGAAAAAAAACAAAAAAAACAGCAAAAAACAAAAAACAGAACAACACGCTAGATAAGAGATCTTTTCCTTAAAATAGAATTTCCACGGAACCTCTATGGCTCTCCTTTTTGGGTGGCAACGGCTGCACGGAGGCAAGCCCCACACCACACAACGCCCACCTCTAGCGTGCAACTCAACGGTCCCGGCACCTTCACAGAGGGGCTGCCATCACCCCAGAAAGGAACCCCAAGCCCCCAGCCCCCAATCCGCGTGGTCTCCAAGGATGTGCCTACTCTGGGCGGTTCCTGTAAGTGACCCACGGTACGTGACCTTCCTCCCCTGCTGCTGCTCACTCAGCGTGGTTTTTACGGTGCGTGCGTGTGGCCGTGGGCGTCAGGACCCCTTTCTACAGCCGGCTACCCTCCCTTGTACACGGAGACCCATTTCGTTTGGTATGCCCAGCCCCTTGGCTCTGTGACAGCTGCTATGTCTCCTGCGCTCACAGCTCGTCTCCCACTCAGCCCCGCGCTCAGCCGCCAGGCCCAGAGCCTGGGCAGCCCCGTCTACCCTCTGCCCGGGGGTGGAGGGGGGACAGACAGGTGCGCTCTGGAGCCGCAAAAGGAGGCAAGGAAAACGCACACAGGCTGAGAGCACCGGCGGTCAAGGCAGAGACCGGCAAGACCCTGGAGGAAAAGCCGGGGTCAAAGGCCAAGTGGGCTTTGGGCCTCCAGGCGCTGGGCAGATGGGCCAGGGGGCCCACACGGCTTGGACCCCACGGTGCAGCAGCCCTGGGGGGCCTTGCAAGCAGGAGCACCTGCCAGCACCAGGCCCCCCAGGCCGCCCTCCTCCCCTTGAAAAGGCCCCGCCTCACGCCATTAGCTCGCCTCTCTGGATTAACCTCATTTCTAATCACCAAGGGGTAAGGGGCAGGGCGGGGGCGGGAGCTGGGGGGCCCAGGTGCACTTGGACCAGGAGGCCATCGACAATTAGCAGCCTCATCCCCTGGGGGGCTGGCATCAATGGCTGGCCAGAGCAGGCGATCGATCCCTGACCACGCACCCACAATGAGCTAGCAGCCACCCCGACCCTGCTCCCGCACAGTGGCAATACCGCTGTGCCCGCCCTCATTAACTGGAGGCACGCGGCGTCCCCTCTGCTGTCTGACTCGGAGGATTAGCGCCGGGGCCGCCGGGCACACGTAATTAACAGCTGAGACCCCAGACTCGGGGGGGAGCCTGGAAACAAAACCGCAACCGTCCGCTCTCCCAGACACACAACCCACGACGACCACGATGACGTATCCTCCCCCCGCTGGACTCCAGAGTGAGGACCCTCCGCACCCGGCTGCAGGACCCCCACCCACCCCAGCACTGTAGCGCATGCAGGGCGAGGCCAGCTCTCGGGCACACCGAGCTGGCCTAGTCCCCCCGGGCCCTCACCCCTGACGACAGGGAGAAGACAAGCGAACAGTCTCCCTAAAAAGGGACCCTCAGGACGTCTTCCTGGGATGCCCGCTCCGGGGGCCGGGCCACCCGAGCTTGGGGGGGGGGGGGGGCCTGGAAGGGGCAGCACCGCAGGGACAGACTTGTGTGTGGGAGGGACCAAGCGCAGGACCCCTGTCCCAGCAAGGGTTTGCCAGGCTTCACCCAGGGCAAGCATCAACCTGGAACCCACGGCCACACCCAGGGTGGGGCGGGGGCACCCGAGGACCCTGCATGCACCTGCTCGCCAGGGCCCTCTGCTTACTCCTATAGTCTGTCCTGTCCCAGGTTCACCTCGGAGGGTCCCTGGGCAGACTGCTGTATTCCAGAGGACGGACAGCCTCCACTGCCTCGCGGTTCCGGGGTGCCCTGCCCTCCCCATCCTCCCCTGATCTCCCCAGGCCCGGTGGGCGAACGCCATTTGGACCCAGAAAGCAGACTGGCCATCAGTGTGGCCCCCTCTGCTTCCAAGGCTGAGGGGCCGTGGGGCCCGCAGGAAGCCTCCCGGGAGGCCAGCAGTCGGCTGGACACAACTCCCCGGACAGTCCCAGAGATGGCCTCCCCAGAACGCGCCCTCCGGCATAGAGCGGTGGGAGCCCCGTTCCGCCTCACGGCCACGGCGCGGTCCTGTGACCGATTTGCCACCACGTGACCGTCCATAAACCCAAATCGGCAAAGACAAGTGTGGGTCTGTCTTATGAACCGTGTTCCAGGGGCCCGTTACTGGTCGATGAGCGGGACTGGGGCTGGCGAGGAGCGCAGAGGGAGCTCTGGGGAGGGGGACAGGGCCAAGTCAGTGGCGTGTCTCCACAGCCAGGGGAGGCCTGCCGTGCCGAGCATCGCCCCCTGGCCCACTGTTCTGGTCATACCCTCCCTGCCCAGCCAGCCGTCCCCCCGCCACCTCCCTGTGTCTGGGGCACATGCAGCTCCCAGGCCTTGCTCTCCTCCAGCTCTGGCCTCCCCTGCCCTCCGGCCCTTGCCTCCAGAATCCCCAGGGCCCGGTGGATAGAGAAAGTCTCCCACCGCCACCACGAGCTCACACCTGTGCTTGGAGACA